CCCACTTGTTCTTGTCCATGGCTGCATTCTCACCACAATGGCAGAGGGGAGTGGCTGCAACAGAGACCAGTTGGCGCACAGAGCCTAGAATATTTATGCTCTGGCCTTTTACAGATAAAGTTTGATGGCCTCCTGTCCTGGATAATGCAAAGTTAGATCCAGATACTGGAATATCTGCATCAATGTTGTATCAGGTACCGGGGAACTATTCTAAAAAGCTCTCTCGGAAGTTGTTTCTTCTCATGGTTTAGTGGGATCCTATTTAGAACTGAATTCTCCCAAACTTTCCTGAAATCATTTTGCTAAGATTAAGAAAAAGGCTTTTCAAATATTGCAACCCGTATCATAAGTTTATGGAAGAAATTGTGCAATGAACTTAGAAAGAGAAGTTCAGTTTCAGGGTGCCACTTAAAGAGAACCAACTATGAGGCAATCTGTGTTTCTCTGTTCTTGTCTCATTGAGGGGCAGGATTCTTCTTTGGACTTCTGCCTGGCTGTGGCTGAACTCTGAGGCCTTAGAGCCACCCATGCCAGCAAGCCCTGTAAGAGTGAGCAGACAGGAAACCTTCTATTCCTATAGCCAATTTTCAGTTTTGCTTGTTAATATATCCCCATTTGTCACCTGACCTTTAAAATCTAGGACTATTTGCTTCAACTTGTTCCTCTTTTGTAAATTACTGCTCTGTACTTGAACCTTAGTCTGCTGTCACCAAACCCTTCCTGCTTATTTGAACTTCTGGTCCCGTTCCTTCCAGATAGCCCCGTTCTCATGCTGTCCATATCCCAGCATGACCCTGGGTCTTTAGTCCTCCATGGGTTCCAGTTTAACCATGTATAAAATGGGAATACTGTGTTTTCAGGTACTCTGCACAGATCTACCGAAGAGAAATAACGAGGCCACCACTGGAGATACAAACACTATTCTAATTTGCAAGCATAACAGATTCTCTTAATATTGATATTACTAAAGGGAATTTAAATGATGGCTGTAATCAAACTATTTCTGTATCGGTTGAAAGTAGCCCATCTAGAAATCATCATAAACTTTAAAACTTAAAATATTTTTCCTCTAAAACAGTATGAGAAGGAAGAGTATGGCTTCATGTTCATTCTTAGAAAAACCTAAAAATAGCAAAGAAAGAAAAGAATGCTACATATTCACCTGACACATGAAAAGCCCACCCGGATACTTCTAGGGACTCACAAATAACACAAAAGCTTAACACAAAACCTAAAGCTCTGAGCTAATCATGGTACTTCTTAATCTTTCGATAATAAAACACAGTTGTGATCTTCAAAGTGACTGTTTCTTTTTTCCATCTCTACCCAAGGGTTTTGTGTCTAGCTTACTCTTCAGCGCTTGTTGCTCAGGGCATTGTTCCATGGTCAGTAGGGACAATACTCTTCAGAAGCACTGAAAATGACAGTATTCCCATTAGTGAATGAACACCACCTTACTCAGTTTTAATAAAAATGGCCACCAGTGAAATTAACAAAATGGTGTATGTATAGGTGTGTATTTGGGAGGAGTCACCCAAGATGGGAATATCATACTTATCTTTATTTTTATAATCCCACAGTAAGCTAATATTTTATTGCATGTGATTGATTACAGGAAAGTTTATAATTTCTCCACTTTCCAGACATGAGACTTCACTTTCCACCCCTAAAATATGTACTGACTTGTGACCTAATAATCTATACTATAAATAGAGCAACACACTCCGCTCCCCGATCCTGAGGTCAGTATTTCTTCAACCTCAACCTCCTAGTGCCCAGCCTACAGCAGTGAGCAGATCTCACTGCTTTTGGACACTCAACATAGCAAGCTGAATGTCTCCACAATACTCTATGCCTTTATTTTAAAGCCCCACTCAGAACTGTATATTGACTCTTTTCACTTATCATTTCCCTCGATCTTGGTTAACTCCTTCGCCAGGCCTGACTATGTTTTAGAGAAACAGGTTCTAAGTGACATGGGGGAGCAGTGGAAGGCAAGCACAAGAAGACCAAGGAGAGGCAACTGCCAACCATGAATACGAAGATGACCAAGAAGCAAAAAGCAAGGAAAGACTTTATGAGAGCATAGAATCAACAATGCTCGTATCCTAAGGTGACCCTTAGCCACCAAGTGGGTTAGGGGCAGAAAACTGTTTGGAAAGACTAAGAAGGCTGAAGTGTTGTGATGACTGCTAGATAGCTTTTATTCTTATAAACATTTACTTACATGGAGGACTTTGTTCCTTGATAAAATAGGGTAGGTGAGGAATTGCTAACATCATTGAAGAGGGGCTGATTTAACACTTTTATGTGGCCGTTGTACATTTTTTTCTCTCTTGCTCTTGCATGTAGGGTCTACATGGCCAAGGAAGGCCAGCCTGTGTGACTTTTGCCCCATGCATAAGTGCTGTCAGGTGCTTAATGAATGTCTGGTGACGACGATGAACAAGAGCTTAATAACGGGGTCTTCTCTGATTAATGGGGCTTAAAGTTAATTTTTTTCATTCTCTTTTTGCATTCATTTTTTAGTGGGTGTAGAGAGACTACAAAATGAACATTCCTTGAAAGAAGAAAAGCAGAATGTTCTATTTAGAAGTAGGTAGATAGCTTTGTTAGAATATTTGCTGATGGTTAAGGAATAGGATTTCCAAGATTTTATTCCTATGACTCATTCTATGATGTGGACATAATCTGTCTTAGCCAACCTCCATTTCCAAGATTTTCATAACCACATTTGCCATTTGCAACATATTAAGAGGATCGGCAAAGTTAAGAGATCCTTGATTCAATCAGAAACAATACTTACTACTTTTGCAATAATCCACCTATGAGCCAGAAAACCAAGGGGGTGTTGACTACTGCTGTAATTCTATGATTCTGCCACACCACAAAGGAAGCTGTTAAAGCTTCTACTTGAACATGGTATTCCACAGAAACCCTTCTCTCTCTGCTAATGGATGACAACTTTATAGTCTTAGGCTCCCCTCTGGGATACTCTTGTCTCTCATCACCACTGAGTCACACAAAAACAGGAAAACCAATCTCAGCTAAACAGGATTCTCCATTCTGATTCCTTTTTTCCACCCCCCCATCTACTGAGCCATCGTTCTTCCAGATTTAGAATGTGTAAGTTATCTTTGATTTGCCCCTCCCCCACCCTCCCCAAGTCCATTTTTACAAAAGTTATAAAGTCTATTGCTTTTCTGTGGACATGTGTCTTTTATCTCTTCCTTTCCCTCCACTTTTCACTGCTGTCTTTGACTAAGTTCTTCACCTCCTCACCTCCTGGATAACTCCAGCATTTTCCCTCCTGGCCTGCCTCTCTTCTGTTCCTTCCCCCTCCAGTCCATCTGGAGTTCCATTAACAGAATACATACTCTGTTTTATTTTTTTTTAAGATTTTATTTATTTACTTGAGAAAGAGAGTGAGAGAGAGAGAGTGTACGAGTGGGGGAAGGGGCAGAGGGAGAAGCAGACTCCCTGTTGAGCAGGGAGTCCTATGCGGGGCTCAATTCTGGGTCCCCAGGATCATGACTTGAGCCGAAGGCAGACGCTTAACCGACTGAGCCACCCAAGTGCCCCCATACTCTGCTTTAAATTTTGCTTTTATTTTATCATTTCCTAACCCAAAGTCTTCACTGACAACTTAAGCCATTTCATATCTATAAGACCATGCATGTGAGAAAACCCCACAGGCAGTATAACACTGGAGAATTATTGTCATTAGCCATAGTGATGCTTCCTGGCTTTTAGGATATGACATACTATAACCTATCTTCTTGGAAGTATAACCTGATTTGAAACTGCTGGCCAACATGCTCCATTGGGCTCTAGTTGGGTCAGGCTCAACACTGTCAATGAGCACGGCCTGCTCTTCCCTTACCAAGCGTTCCCTCCAGAGGGAGACATGGAAGCTGCATGAGAGTACAGGTGGGAGCTTTCCATGTTGTGAAACGATCAGACATACATGGTTTGTCCAAGAGCTCTGTTCTTGACCCTGTCTTGTTTATCCTATTAAATTCTTGGATAAAAATAGATTATATTCTTATCAAATCTTCAGACATTAAAAGGGAGAGGAAAGAAAAGCTATGCCAGACAACAAGATCAAAGTTCAAAGAGAACTCCCACAAGAGGTCAAATGAAGAGCACCAAATATGACAGAAATAAATACATTTTGAATGCTAGGTTCAAAACTCCAACTGAACTGGGTGGCGGGGGACTTCATAGAACAATTATTTTAAAATATTTCCAGGGGAGGAGATCAGGATGAAGGTGAGGACTAGGGTGCAGGGGAATGGACTATTTATAAGGGAAACAAACCAAGCCAACAGGCTGAATTGTGAAGGATCTAGAAATCAGATATAGTATGTAGATTTATTCATATTTCTCTTGAAAAGAGGACATTAAGAAAAGATGTAATATCTCTTCTTTTAGGACTATCCTAAAACAAAACAAAACAAAACAACCCAAAAAACCAGGGAGTAGAATTATTCCCTGCAGCAACAGAGGGAGGAACTAGACCCACTGGGGGAATAAGATGTATCGAGAAGTTAACTTCCTGTGACTCAAAGTGTTCAAGTATAGACTGAGTGACATCAACACAGGAACATACTTTTTTTTGGCATTCTTAGAGTGTGGAGAGTCTAGACAACCTGAAGATTGTTGACTTTGAGCCACTACAGTGTGGTGTTGTTCCTCCCACACCCATAATACCCTCTGCTCACCTGTCTCTGTACAACACTGATCATATATGGTCTCCAGTCAGACACCTCCATCCTTCTCACTAGAGTGGGAACTCCTTGAAGTTAGGAATTGTTTTTTATCTCTATATTCCTGGCTTCTAGCATAGTTCCCAAGGAACTAAGGTACTCAAAATATTGTACTGAATTAACTGCATTATAAATTTCTACCTTGAAAAGTCCTACCACCCTTCAAAGTCCAGCACACATTCCCACTTTCCACAAGATTACTTCCCTACTCCTATATATTCTGTGCCATACCATTTGCCACAATGTACTTCTCCATATCTTTCTTTGTATAGTGTTGTTTAATGAGTGCCATCTGTATCTCCCCAACTAGACTGTCAGTTCCCAGTGAACAAAAGGATACTATTTAAAAATAGTAGAAAATTTTAACATTAAAAAAAAACCATCTTCTTATTACAAAGAGAAAAACAGTAACTTTATAGTGAAGAAACATGGCAGACACTACCTTAATCAAGTGATCAAAAGTAACATCGCCAGTAAGACGACATATTAACATCATTGACCCAGATATGATGTCATCATCTCTTCTGTGGAATTCTTGCCAAAAATAAGTAGCCACAATCTCATCATCAGAAAAATCATGTTAATCCAAACTCAGGGATAGTCTACAAAATATCTGACCAGTAGTAATCACTAGAAGTGTCTGGGTCGTGGAAGACAAAGAAAGACTGAAGAACTGTCACAAACTGAAAGAGGCAGGAAACATGACACTGAGTGCAATGTAAGGTTCTGGGTTGGACCTTGGACCAGAAAAAGGGCATTTAGAGATAAAAGTTGAGAAATTCTAATAGAGTCTGGGGATTAGTTAGTAGCATTATAACAATGTCAATTTCCTAGTTTTGATCATTATACAATGGTTATAAAAATGTTAACATTAGGGAAATTTAGATGAACACTGTACAATTATTTTTTAAGTTGTCGGTAAGTCTAAAATTCCTTTAAAATAAAAATTTAACTAAATCATCTTTTGGTTTTCATCAACCAATTAACAAGAGAATGGTACCTATGCAAAGTTTATACACTTTGAAGAGGAAGTGGTCATTAGTGATGAAGAATTTGAGTGATCTAAACAACTAAAACAGCTACCTTTAACCCAAACAAACAAGTACAGTCGATTCTCGTTATTTGCGGTAGTTACGTCTACAGGGTTGCCACAAACACTGAATACCAAAGTGAATACCGAAGGACTGCTCCCAGGGGAAATACAGGGAGAGTTTCCTGCAAGCCTCTGGTCATGTTTTCATCAACTCATCAATACACAACCTTGATTTATGTGTGTTTTTGTTTAAAGACACCTTATTTAATATATATTGTTGAGTCATTAACATTGAACTCACAGCCAACAGCTATAACTCCTGCCTGAATGAAGCTTATCTAACACATGTATTTTCTCCATAAGGCACATGACAGTTCTTTGTGCTTAGGAACTAGCCAGCACTTCCGCATTACACTTGGGGGCCATTTTAAATGATGAAATCATCAACAAGAAAAGTGCAAAACTGTGAAAAATGTGGCACTAAATGGACCTCGAAAAGGACACAGGATGAGAGCCAAAACAAGAAGGCAAAATATCACCTTGTTTGACCTCAGCTGGGAACGCGTGAATTAGGTGACATAAATTTTCAATGCTCTGTGCATGTCCGCAAATGACCAAAAAAGCACTGCCATTATTCATTTGGGTATATAAATATAAATTCTTTTTAGCGAGTTGGCAAATTTGAAAATATGGAATGCATAAATGAGTACTGATTGCGCCCTTAAACGTATCCAGTGATTGTGAACTTAGGGTACCTTTGCCTTAAGTGAATAAGGGAATAAGTACATTACTTGCATTTGAAATGACAAATGGAACTCCTGAAAAATTAGAAAGTGCCTGAGGATTCGCTACGTATCGGAGCCCAGTGGCAAGAACGGGGCTCCTTCACTAAGACTTGTCCGGTTTTCATATCACAGTTTTCTTCGTGATGGAGACAGTTCATGAACATTGGTCTCTGGACTTTCATTCCGTGTGGGGGTGTTTCAATTCTATAATTTAGTTCTGTCTCAGTTACAATCTTTTCCTCCATGCTGTCTGAGGGCCTTTCTGGTACCCTGACCTCATCCAGTCCAATGATATTAATCTCCTTTCATTTCCAGTGTAGTCCACCATACACATGGCCACAACCTGAGCTTCCTCATCCCCAGAATCGGCTCCACCCTCAGGAAATCTCTACATTTATTGCCTACCCAGTCCTCCCTTGTACTGGATGCATTTGATTTCTATTTGTGACATAGAAACTCAAAATTCCTTTGGATCCCTCCAGCTCATCACTTTCTTCTAGCTGTACTTCAACTTTATCTCCATTTGGTCAGTAACTTTTGTGAAGTCATTTCAATGATGCTTTCACTAGAACCCCAGGATCTATTATCTTCTGACCTTTTACAGCTTTTCATTTTCCAAACTATGATCTTGAGTGATTCCCATTTGTTTCCCCTGCTTCTATCCCTGGCCTGCCGGATATTGCTGTAAAAATGCACAAGATCATACTGCTTAAGTCCAAAATAAATTAATTTACTTAATCAGCCTTCAGCAAGTATTTGTTGTCCTTATTCTGATTCATCTACTGTTGAAACCCTGTTGTCCTTATTCTGTCCTCCTTTCTACACACGTGGCCAACACTCTAGTTCAGACTGATACGGGGATCACCTGAGTCTATAAGTTCTTAACTAGTCTCCCCACATCCCGTCCTGTCCACTTTATATGCTAATTAATCATTTTAAAGTAGACAGTTAATCAACCTACCTGCTCCCCATAGCTACACCTGGCAAAACTCCAAACACCTTTACGTGGCATTCAAATCCCTCTATGAACTGATTTCAGATTACTTGTAAAGTCTTTTCTTCTTTCTAATTTGTCTAAACCCAAATGGACTATTTCCATTCCCAAATAGGTCCTCCTTGCTAATCAAGCCCCTTCTTCATGCTTCTTCCTTCAACAGGCATATTTTGTCCCCAGTCTCTGTCCCTCGAAATCCAACCCATTCTTCAAGCCCCAACTCAAAATACATCTCTTTCATGAAGCCTGCTCCAATTCTGCAGTTGGAAATATCCTCTTCCTCTGACTCACCGTAGCCCTTTGGAATTGCAGTTAATGCATTTGTATTTGTGAAGTAATCATCTTGTAATTATTTTATTCCCTTCACTACATTTCAAGATCTTTGAAGGCAGAAATATCATATCTATCTTGCCTTTACCATAGCACCCAGCATAAATGCTCAGTAATGTACTATTTAACAACTGAATGAATGGATTTTATATATATTAATAATATAATAATATTAATGGATATATATTATATATATATATAAAATCCATGTACAACAGAGGAAAATTGAGCAGGTACAATACATTGTTAATGGCCGATATTATTGATGTTAATTATTGATCAATTATTGATAGTAATCATTGATAAATTAAAACTTGAGAGAGACAGAGGAAAAGAGAACACAAGAACAGTAAATTAACAATTATTTGATAAAGTGAAATGAAATTGATTGGGAAAACCAATGAGTTGACTATTGTAACATTAACTCTCTGGGCAGGGTTGTACTGAAATCTTTGCAGAGAGATGTATTTATTTCCTTCCTGGGATTCAAAAATAAAAGGTAACATACGAACAAAATGTATTCAATGAATTCTTAAATTGAACAAACATTGCTAGATGCAGTTGATACTGTAATAGTAACTCACTTAATTGGAAGGACTTTTTAATTTTGATAAGTGAAGAAAGGAACTCAGTACTCACTGTCTATTCCGTTTGCACAACGAATACTAATGGAACAAATTACCATCATGACTATCACTACCACCACCATGGTAAAATATATTCCTCAGTTTAAAAAAACTTCAAAAACTATAGTAGAAATGTGGCTCAGTAGGAAGCTATGACAACTGGGGAAGCTTAGTCACATCAAAGCAAAGCCATTCATCATCTTCATGACCAATGTGGTTTTATCTACACTAAATAAACAATGCAGAAAAGGGTAGATTTCATCAAGGGAGATTTCCTCCCCAGTAAGTTTCATCCCATTGCAGGGAAATTGCATGTGAGTAATACAATTTCTGATCAATTCTGTTCTGATAAGCATAAAATATTTCTCTTCAGGCCTTATTCAATGTATCCACAGTTGACCGAACCTCTGAATTTCTGGGAACTCCCAATAGCCTAAGAAAACTTTTTCAAAAAGCCAAGCCTCAACGGTGTCCTATTTTCACTTGGCTGTTAAATCTATTTCAGATCCAATCTTGTGCCCTGAAACAATAGCAGAATGAAAGGAGAAAAGCCTGTAGATGCTACAGAATACAATATGGAACTTAAACGTGGGGTGCAAATGTTAGCTGAGTTTCACATTTCCTAAATCACAGGCCTGTCAAAATTGTTTACTGAAAGAAAATCTGGTTCAAGTGAGCCAACACTTATTAAGCAACTATTATGTGTCAGCTTGGGAATAAAAAGATGATTGAAATGGTGTCCGTCCCATCAAAGAATTCACTAAAGCTCTCAGTAAAACAGACATGTATAACACTCATCTAATGATATGCTAGCTGTTTGAACAAAGTGTTACGTGAGCACAAAAGGAAGAGCTGACTGAGGGAGGTGAGAGGCAAACAGAAAGGGAGAAGGTGACCTTTGAGCTTGACTTAGGAGGACACAAACAGTCAAAACAAACGTATCCTCAAACATGAACCCGGCCCTCAGCGGGGATCTGAGTTTTCGGGTAATTTCAAAGCATGAGCAATGAAAGTAATTGAAATGGAAGATAAATCATGGTAGAGTGTGATGAGACACCAAACTGAGATAAGTTAGTAAAAGGAGCTGAGGAGGGTGATACTCTCCCTTAAACCTTAAGACTGCAGGATGAGGCATACACGTGACACTTCATATTGAATTTATTGTGGGAAGTGACCTGAGAGATGTCTTCACTTGACACAGTAGGGGTTGGGAGTGACTTACTGGAACTTGTAGCATATACTCCAAGAGAGCCCGTAGAAAAATTATCTTTTAAGAAATGCTTTCATTTAAGGATAAGCAACATAATCAATTGTGCCCTGTTACAGGATGTCAGAAAGTAATGCATTGTATTTATATGGCCTTTCTCCTCAGTGTTGAACTAGAACGGACTTTCAAATGATAAATCAGGACTAGGGAAGCAGAAAGCACCATAGAAGGGACTGATCATCAAGCCCCCAGACAGAATGCCTCACTACGACAATTTTTATCAGAAAGGATCAGCATCCAGACACCTCCTCTTAAAA